ATGTTAAGTTCTGATGATGATTATACTGCGTATTCAAAGCTAAATGCTTTATTCGAGGATCGAACAGAATACGAGTGTAAAAAAATTTCAAGTGCTAACACAACGAAGGTTTGTCTCGTTCAGTTTTTCAAGCAAGCGAGTAAGAGGTATTACATATCGACGATCGATAACGGTATTAAGTTTCTTTGCGCGTGCTTTGTAATTCGAGACGCGACACCGCGAATCCTCTCAAGGGAGAAAAGACGAAGCGAGGATTCGCGAGGGGAAAAATTCGGTCTGTTTTTCTTGCACCTAAAACCAAAGCCAAAGTAAATCGCTCGCGGCGCGATTCCGGCTACGGTACGATTGACCGGCTGGCGTTGTTTACACGTGGTGAATCGAATATTTCTAACTAGATTACCGACGCTCTATTACTTCGACAAATACAATGGATTTCTTCGTTCTCCTCGATATCCTCGCTGCGGTACCATTTTCCTCTCCTCCCCCCCCCCCCCCCCCCGAGCAACCACTTGAGGAGAGAGAAGCAATCGTTGCGCGTTTCTTTTCAATTATTCCCCATTATATATTTTTTCACGGAAAATTGAATAACGTTCTTTCTTTTGTACAAACTCAGTTAACAATATCATAACACTGTAATTGGGACATATAAAGGGTGTCCCAAAATTAACGCAAGATTTGAATTTGCCGCCATTTATGCAGTAAAGTGTTGGCAACCCAAAAAAAAAACAATTTAACAGCTGACAGTTTAGGGTTAGTGAAAATGGAGCGTGAAAATGGATTATTGAACATCAACAAATGGATGCTGATTTTTCGAGCAAAATCATCCTAAGCGATGAAGCACATTTTCACCTTGATGGCTTTGTTAATCGCCAAAATCGCCCCCTAGATCGTGTGATTTAACACCATTAGATTTCTTTTTATGGGGTTATTTGAAATCACAGGTCTATGTCAACAAGCCCACAACCACCCGTGCATTAAAGGAGGAGATTCAACGCTGCATCAATGAAATTCAGCCACATTTATGCAAAATGGTCATGGAAAATTTCGACAAACGAGTGCGTATGTGCATGCAAAGCCGTGGAGGCCATTTGCCCGATGTGTTATTCCACAAATAACCCTATCCTATGTACTTTATGATTCAATAAAAAAATAACAATCAAAAGACTAAAAACTATGTTTTCTATTTAATTCAAATCTTGCGTTAATTTTGGGACACCCTTTATTTACTATCGCGCTCAAAAGGTTATCTCGAAATTTTGAAAATAAAACTTAATCAATTTTACTTATTAATATTGTAAATATACAAAAGTTTATGACATAATATTTGAAACATAATGTTTATTGTAATAGTGTATATTCAAAAATAAAAATGGATAAAAATAGTATTTTTATTTAAAAACTATAGATTGCTGCAAACTTCTAAGCGGTAATGTGTAAATAATGTAATTACTTCTCAATTAAAGCAAATTTCGTATAATAGATAAAAAAAATTATAAAATGTTTCAATCCCTACATATATATTTTCTCCAACTTCTTTTATTTAGGAGAATTAATATTAAAAGACTTTTCTTCTATTCTGCAGTATAATCTACCGGAATAAATATATGTACAGTTGTAGCTGTACCTCTCTAGAGAAATACATTTAGGTGAACTTGTAGTTGCATTGCGTGCAATTGGGCTGCACACAAGGGATACTCGGCAGCATGGCCGCGGCGGGCGGCAAATGATGCAGTATACCTGCCGATCTGGCGACTGACAGCCGATCCGCCGCTACTTGGGCGCACATGTGCGCATCCCTCAGCTGCTGTTGCACGCCGGAAGTGAAGTAATTGTTGTAGCGAAAATTAAGAGCGACCGTCTCCTGATCGACCGCCGTTTTCGCGATCGGCAGGTCGGTCCCTTTGGCGAACTGCTCGGTCGGCACGATGTTCAATAGGCAATAACCCGCATCCCCGTAAACGTTTCTGGACAGGCTGGTATAGATCGGTGCCAGCATCGTGCCGGGAATCTGTTGCTGTTGTTCCCCCACGGCGCTGTCAACAATCGTCTGCGGGGGTCGGAAGGCTGAGGATGTGTGGCTGATACTGGTTGACATCGTTGGATCTGTAATGCCCAGGTTGTCGCTCGCGAAGTACTCGATTGCCTTGAGTAGGTCCTGACCGCAACGTTGCAGTACCAGTTGCAGGACCGATAGCTTGGTATTCGGAAATAAGCGGGCTAAAGTCTCCACGGAGGTCTGAGATACCAGGGTGGTTTCCCTGATTCCCTCCAGCTTGCCGGTGTCGAAGAGGAAACTTCTGGATCTCGAGGAGGTTTCCAGGTTGTCCTAAGAACGAAAAGGAAGTTATGTAGAAAAATCTTTTAAAGAGAACTTTCTAACAAAGTAATTTGTGGAAGAGCAGTTTGTTTTATAAGAGTTTTTAAGGTTACTAAATTTGATTTTGTCTTTAGAATTCTAAACGTTTAGAAAACGGAATCCAATATGACGAATTGAATAACACAAAAATAATCTATTGATTATTATGAAACTCGGTTTTATGAATTCTTGGGATTACTGAATTTGAAGGTAATCTCAAAATATTAAAATTCAAAAGGGTAATGAAAGAAGAACTCGTGTCACAGAGCTTACGTTCACAAGCTTGTCAAAGTTGGAAATTAATGCGCTTATAGCCAATCGTTGTGGTCTGTTACGGTCAATTGTTTGTGTAATAAATCAGCTTCAAATAAAGCGAAACTGGAAATTTGATATTGCTTTTAGCAATGTTAAAGTCTCTAAAACTGAGTTTTATGATAATGAGATGACCCAAGCAAAACAATAAGCTGTGATAATGTTAAATGACATTCAAATGAATCGTGATGGATCAAGTGAAAAGTGATTTTTAACAATTATTTTGTGGCCATTTTAATGCCATTTTTATGTTATTATGATTTTTTTCTCTGCTTTAATTATTTTTTTCTAAAATTTTGTCCACGCAGTATTGAATCCGTCATTTTAAGTTTATATCTTTTACGTCAGATTTGAATATAAATCATTATTATTAGTTAAATTAATCCAATAGTCAAATTACATGAAAACAAAATAAAAAAGAAAATCGTCAATATAAGTGATCGCCTCTTCTCAAAGAATTAATTAACAATGAATCCAAATTGACTTGTCACATTTTGTTATTTTTTTCTGAGATCCTGTTTTGTACGTACGGAACAGTTTTGAACACGAGCGGGTAAAGCGTCATCGGTCGATACACGTGGAAGATCATTGGTATCCTCAGAAATTCCGTCGAGTTTCTTTGTAACAGGAGTCGCATTTTCATTTTGATCCACTACAGATTTCGGCTCGGTCACGGACATTCCAAAGATTTTGCCTGGCGGAAGTCGATCGAGCTTCTGTCCGGTGGCCACCTTTGCCATTTTAAGAGCGATTGCGTCCTCGGCTGCCTGTTGTCTCTTCAGAGCAACCTTCCCGAAAACAACTTTTTTAATCCATTTCCAAAGAAAAAAATTTAATTTTTTCTAATATACTTATATTAAAAATTCAATAAATTTTAACAAAGATACAATTATCTTACGTATTTGGTACGTTTCTGGTAAAAGCAAACAAAGATACAAATCGTAGAAGAGAAATTGATAGTATTAGAGAACATATATATTATATATGTATATAGGGGAGAGTGGCCCTAAATCGGACTGTATTCCAAATAGGACCTTTTTAATTTAAATGAATACGATTAAATTTGCATGCTATTTATAATGTAAAGTTTTTATAAGATACTGAACATATGAGTTCTCTGTTATAACATTCATAGAATAGACGAAAATATGTATTTTCGTGCGAAAATTTTTTTTACAAAGAAAATTCTTATAAATCCATTATTTAAAAGGATTAAGAATTTGGAAGGTAATTGATTTAAGATAATTAAAGAGTGTAGAATTCAAAAATATCAAGCGTTTTGTGATCATTTAACAGATTGAAGGACTCTTCCTATACAAAATAAATAACAGTAAATAAAGAGCAAAGTAAGAGTCAAACACATTTTTTTTTAAATTGTCATACAATTAAAAGAATAAATTACAAATAGAGAAAAGTAAAATTGAAAAAATATAAACTAAATAATAAAATAAAAACTCAGTTTAAATACAAATAAATTATAAGTTTCGGCTATCGGATTGAGCCCTCTTCAGACATTAACTTATCAAAAAAATTGCAATACAAAATTAATTATCGGAAATGTTCGCATATTCACTATAATCACAATTCGGCGAGTCTTGATGTAGAACTCGACATTATTCACATAAGATTGAACAGTCAAATGTGTTTCATATCTCTTGGAAAAGTTTTAGTTGATAAAAAAGATAAAAAGACTTCTTACGAAAACATAAACACAACCAAATTAATATACCGGAATTCTAATTCCGATTAATTTGGTTGTGTTTATTTTTTCGTAAGAAGTCTTTTTATCTTTTTTATTAACTAGAATTTTTCCAAGAGATATGAAACATATTTGACTGTTCAATCGTATGTGAATAATGTCGAGTTCTACATCAAGGCTCACCCGAAATGTAATTGGTATAGTGAATATGCGAACATTTCCGATAATTAATTTTGTACTGCGATTTTTTTGATAAGTTAATGTCTGAAGAGAGCTCAATCCGGTAGCCGTAACTTGTAATTTATTTGTATTTAAACTGAATTTTTATTTTATTATTTAGTTTATATTTTTTCAATTTTACTTTTCTCTATTTGTAATTTATTCTTTTAATTGTATGACAATTTTTTTAAAAATGTGTTTGACTCTTACTTTGCTCTTTATTTATTGTTATTCGTTTTGTAATCATTTTTGCGGTTTAATGTAAAATTTCTTCCAAAATTCGAAAGCAATTAATTTTTTAATTATCTTAAATCAATTACCTTTAAAATTTTTAACATCTTTTAAATAAAATCCTTGTCCAAATCGGACCTCTTTTTGGGTATTCAAAACCTACAGTACAGTAGATAACTTATAGGTTGTAATACTGATGATTGGCTGACCAGATCTAGTCCAAGGAATTAAATCAGTAAAATATCATGAGTCATCAGACTTAGATTAATTGAGTTTTATTGATATTTATATTTCAATTCTAATAAAATATAAACTGTCAGTAATTTTTTTTCTGAATAAAATTTTTATCTTAAATCATTTCTATCAAATTGCTCATTTTACTCAATACTAACAAAAACACATTAAAATATTTTAAAATTGTATCTAAAAGTTAATAAAAATAGGAATGTTCGATTTGGAACTACTGGTTCTAAATCGGACCAGAAAAAATGTTTTTATATTTTCCATTATAGTTCAACACAGGTGAGAAATACATCAAAATGATCTAAAGTAAAAATGAAGAAAATTAAATGATTTTTTCAATGGCACATCGGTTTTTCGACTTTATTTATGTCTTATAGAAAAAGCAAAAACTGCAAAATATAGATCCAACTTACTCCACTCTCCCCTATATATACGCACATTTTTGAAAATATATGAATATAAGAGAAAATATTCTAATTTAAAATATTTCCATATGCTAAAAATAGTTCATTAAATATTAAATACTAATATACCTACATCTATATAATAGATAAGTTCCTTAAAATGCATAAATCTAACAGAAAATATCTCGATATAAAATATTCCTCTCTAGACGTTAGAAATAGATAATTTAAAATCATAAAATTACAAACAGGAGAACGAGTAAAAATATGGTTCGTATCGATTCGTCGAGTTCCATGCTATAATTAATATAGCGAAACATTCAATGTAGATTCTTATACATAGCGCATAACAATCGAATCGTGATGGATCATGACTGCGTTTGACTTATAAATGGACCTGTCGCTTATGTATGGACTGCATTTACCACGCTGTTATTCCAAGCTGGACCACCCGCAATAATCTTTCACATCGTTGATGCTGGAGAGAATCTACTAGGCCAGCTTCATCCCATTTTCTCGTCGATCTCCGTTCGATCATCAAAGTCTGAAAGGGATAACTATCCGATTTCACTCGAGTCAATATATCGCCATGTGTTTCTCTGTCCTCTGCTTGTTACAAAAGCATTCGCTACAAAGTCTTATTTAGGGAAATACGTGGATGAGTCGTACGACATAAAATTCAATCAGTGTACAATTAATATTGCGATTTATATTAATCCTGACGTGTTCTTGATGTTTATTAAAGAATAATTTATTTCATGCTCTTCGAAGTTTATAAGATTATATATTATTATAATAAGTGTGTATATCAACATTTTATTATACATAGATACATACTCTGTAAAAAAAGTAAAATTGCATATAAATAATATGTGTAAAAAATCGCACAATTTATAATGAAAATATATAAAATTGTTAATTTTTTAATTTTAACAAAAATTAATATTTTTATCTCTAATTGTATAATATATCTTTATATTAGACAAAAAATTACAATAACAATTTATAATTTTTATAGTTTTTATATATAATATTTATAATATATATTTTATAGTTTTGTATGTAAATTTTTGCAATATTATATATATAATTCATAATAGTAATAACACACGTAATATATTTGCATTTTTTTGCATTTTTCGTACATATCGACGACATTGCTTATGAAAAAATTGTACGTAATTTGTTGGCGAATTATTATGTAAATCTATGAACTTAATTTTAATTGTAAGTTATAACTTCACTTACATGCATGTGTAATTTACACTGTGTAAATATACATCTTTAATAGTGGACTTCAAAATTAATTATTGTTATTGTAATATTATACGAAATTTTTTAATAGTCTACGGAAAGAACAGTTTTGCCGAAGCAAAGGAGATTGGAACTCGTTGGTACAGTTTTCACAATTAGATTAGGTTTCTAGTAGCGCTAATGTTGGTCTACATTCGTAGAACATTAGATACGTTTAGGAATCGTATATAAAATATATATAAAATAATTAACAAGTGCTGCCTGGAATTTTTACACAATTAATTGTTATGTTTAAAATGTACTGACATGATAGAGAGAATTTTTCTCTTCTTGTCCCGATAGATTAGGAAAATTGACACATTAGATACATATTACGGTGTAAATTGTCTTTATAATAAACTCTATATTTTTCACATTGATGAAAATACAACATAAATAACACATAAATAGTAAACATGTATTTTTAATAAAAATTGTATCTCTTAAAATTATTTTATAATAATCAAATAGCCAAATGTTATATATTACAAAACAAATTATTTTAGTTCTAACTTATTTTAACGTAGAAATACTTTCGCTAGGCTTTTATGAGTATTTTCTTCAGAGGTACCAAAGGATTTACGGGTTATCGTGACCCGTTGTTAATACTAACGTTTCGTGAATCTTGCCATTCACTTTATCAGTATGAGGAGCGTAACTGATATCTAGAGACACGATAGTGTCTCGACGTTAACACTTTTAATATAGAAATATTAAATATAAAGCGTTTCATCAGAATTAAGTTGTGTCCAAACATTCACGCGTGGTATAGTTAAACTTTTCTTAAATATAAAGCCTGCAATTACCTCATTTCTACATATGTCTGATTTTAATCGTTTCATTATAACAATTTTACTGTTATTTAAAATAACATATCATAACAGACAGATTTGTATGTCTAGCTAAATTTTTAAATACTCGAGCAAAACCGTTCTTTCCGCATACACACACACACACACAGACACACACACACACACACACACACACACACACACGCGCGCGCGCGCGCGCGCGCGCGCACACACACACACACACACACACACACACACACACAAATAATTCCAATAATATCTCTCTGAGATGTTGATATTACTTCCGACAGCGTTAATTCTAGTCATTGTGGATTAACCGTGTTCACGCGCGGCGCAAAAGTTTCCGCGGCAAAATTGCGCGCGGTTTATGCGCGGTGCACCGGCGATTATTGCCGGATGGACGGTTGTGAACGCATGTTTTGTTAGACCGCAACCACCCGTGTGAGTTTCTCGGTCTGTCCGACTATTTTCATTCCAAGATACAGGGGGTAGCGTTTAAACGCCGCTCGCTCCCGCGCGCTTACCGCATCGAAAGTCTCGCCGCAAACAAAGTATCGAGTGTCATAATGCCTATGCAAACAGAAATGAAACGCTATATCCCGAGCGTTAATGGATTTAATTTATCTCGCCCCCTCCTGTCGCTCCTGTCTCTTCTCTCGGGAAAGAAGACCGCGAGATGCATTATGCATGCGATGTCCGAATTTCGATCTGGTCTGGCAATTACACGTTCGCATTTGGCTGTTTGCGTTAAAAGAAAATAAATTCTTGATTATCAAAAAAACAGATTATCAAAAAGAAACGCGAGGAAACCTCGCGTTTGACCTTTCGGAAGAAAGGTTGATGCCAAAATCTGTAACATACGCTGCCATGCATAAATGGGTCTTATCCATTTAATTTACGGTAATTAAGAGGTAAATATTTACAATAGTATAAAGAAAACTAAACGGTTTGACATTTTTGACAAAGTGGTTTATAATGGATCCATTAGGCCTATTGTCAGCTCCGGAGAGTAAAAAATATAGCAGACGATATAAAAATAATGATGCACTGATTACTTTCACTGAGGAACCAAAAGGACATAAAATCTTGTATAAAATTTTAGTATCTATATTTAAATAAATATATTTTACTCAAAACATATTTTAATAAAAATAATCAAAATTTACATATATGTATAACATAAAAAAAAATTGAATTGTTTATGACATAAATGAGAGTGGATTCGGTAAATCCAACTCCGAAGGAGGAGACTAAAATAATTGACAATAAATAAAAATCATGACACACAAAATTAATCATCCCTGTTAAACGTTGAATTAAGAATTCCAATCCATGAAAGTGTTGATAGAAGTTGGAAATTTTTATTCTTACATACATATATTGGGTGATCCGGAAAGTCCGTGCGGATTTTTTCATTGATTTTTCAAAAGTTTTTTTATTTGTTGCGAAATTTTCGTTACGATTATATCATTCGCTAGAGCAAAGTTTCAGCTTTAAGAATCTGTTTTTTAAATTGCGATATGATGATTTTTATCGGAGTTATGAGCAATCGAAATCAGAATGCTTCTTTACTTAACTCGCGAATAACTCAGAAACAAAAAATTATAGGAACATTTTTAAAAAATGATTTTGTAGGGAAAGCTTTAAGTTTTCACGATGGGTAGTCGAAAATTTTCGTAAATTTTTTTTGGGCACGTGAGAGACCCCCAAAGTGAAAAGAAAATTTTTTATCTTTTTCAGCTCGTAGTTTTTGGTATGTAAAAATTATCAAACTCATATAAACTTAAAAAATGTGATAAGCTTTTAAAAGTAGAGATTTCAAGCTTTAAAACTCTTTTTTTTAATTTAAATTTCGTTCATTTTTGACGAAGGTATCGTATATACAATTTTTCATTGTAAAATCCGCACGGACTTTCCGGACCACCCAATACATTATCTCATATACATTATCTCTCCCGATTTTCTATCATTTGTTCCATTTTGTGGAAGAGAGAGAGAGAGAGAGAGAGAGAGAGAGAGAGAGAGAGAGAGAGAGAGAACGCGATTCTCTTTTCATTAAAGGGGTGCAGAGAATACGACGATAACGAGCTCCGATCGAGTGTGTTTTTAAATACCGAAGGGTGAACCGTGCGAAATAAAATATCGGAAGTACGTTAATCACGCTCAACTGGGCGTGTAGTGAATTGACATTTTTCTTTCACATTTTCCCTACACGATCCACTCAAAGCGCGGAGATAACATGCTCGCGTGTACTAAATTAGTGATGGCATGAACGGGGCGAGATCCGTGACATTTATATACATTCGCGAATGGTCGCGCAGATTTGACATTTCGGTTCGCGTTGTTCGTATAAACTTTCTAATATTAAACAGCGAGGAGACTCGTTGTTGGTAGAACGATGTTACTTTGTCCGTTATTTTGCATGAATAACGAAAAAGAGAGAAGAATTCAGGGAGAGTGCGTGCTAAGAGATATACGTAAGATATTGGACAAAAAATCGAAAAGGAAAGACAAATGACAAATTGGATCAGATTCATAGAGAAAGAATGATTCTACTAAAGTATCTAAAAATTTATCTAGATACAGATTTGGAAAATAATTTTGTCAGTTTATCAAAATAAATATATAGGAACTATACTCCTGGAACGTCAAAATTTTTTGTAATATTGCTTATCTACTTGAATTTCTTATATAATTATTTTGATAGGGGACAACTAAAATTACAATTTAAAAGTTTTCAAAAGAAATTTTAGTTTATGATCACTTATTTTCATCAAGTTATAATTGTTTGAATTTTAGATTTCTGCATAATTACACTGCAGTTCAATAAAAAAAAATCATTTTTTTTTCCTCTTTGAAGTGCTACATACCTCGAAGATTTTCTCGCACTGAACACGACACTGTCGTCAAAATTTGCGTAGCACATCCAATAAAATTGCTTTTAAAAATCTATATCTAACTAAATTTTTGATTACTTCAGTCGTTTTTAGCCTTACTGTATTAACTTTCAATACATACGATGATTTTTCGGTCCTTTATTATGTACATGTATAATAGGTTATTCGTGTCTCGGATTAATTTTCATTACTTAATTTTATACAAATATACAAAATTCTTAAGTGATTCTTACATTTTTAACATTTTTAGAAAGTATTTTTAGTGTTGTATGTTTAAAAATATTACATATGAATGTTGTAATTAATTACTTGGTGCTTCTAGTATTTCAAAGAAAAGAAATGCGCAAACGACTCAATCATATGTATCAAGAATTGAAAGATTAATTAATGCATTATTAGCACACTAAAAATGTTCATTTTATTTTTTAATAAATTGTTTTAATAGAAAAAAATCGTCAATTTAACTAGAAATGTGATTGATTCCTTAACAAATGTCGATATATATAATATAAAGAGAGTGGCTGCCAAAAGTTCTCGACCAATGAATAATTTTATTATATTGCTCAGATAAGAAATTTTTACGAATAAAGATTTATACAAGTATTTTAAAATATTCTAGTATATAAAATATTGATTCTCAAGTTGATTTATAATAAGCATTTGATTAACTAATATAAATTAAAAAACAAATCGAAAAAAATTATTGTAAAATTATTACATTGTATATTGGCCGGAAACTATTGATAGCCATTATATATTATACATAATATATATAAAAAATTTACATACATACATACAAAGAATCTATTTTTAGAATTAGTTGGAAGATAGAATGTTGCAAAATCGAATTTCGCAATTTCCGTGTGCGGCTTACCTGTGCAGCCATCACTCGCTGCCGTTCGGCGATCAGGGAACATTTCGGACACAGACATTCCCGGTAACGACATTCCCGCTTATGACCCCGCAGCCACGAGATGAGGCCATGATTCCTGCAACGGGCACACTTCGGTCTCCGCTGTTTTCCGGTCTCCGTTCCCTCATTGTTTTCGTTATTCTCCGACCTGCTCCTGCTCTTACCACGGAGCATGGTAGCGTCCCACACCACAAGAAATCAGTCAATCGTTTCTCTTTTTCTATTTACTCGGCCGCTCACATTGCCCGGCACGGATCTCGTTGTAGAAATCCGTGTCAGAAAAGAAGATCCAACAATTATTTTGTTTATTTACTCCGCTGATCGTCCGAGGAGAACTCGAGCAGCAAACGTCTGAGTTGAGATTTTAAATCCTTTCGAAATGTATGTGTACGCAATTTCTCTTGGTGAGCCGTTATAGAAAATTAATAAATTAAATATCAATTTTACAAAATGTACATTTATATATAATGTAACATATATATATATATATATATATTGATAATATAATTATTATGATATTAATATGATAAAGCTAATAGAGTCTTTTATCAAGCGAAAACTTTAAAATTTCCGAGAGCAAGAATCACGAGACTGGAGGTTAAGATTGGCACGTGGTGTTTCCGCGCGCGCGATTTCTTGGCGATTGTTAATTTAGAACTGCACGGAAAGAGAACCGGAGCAATCTAATCGCCGCGCTGGCGAGATCTCGTCTCTTCCGGCTTGACGATGGACCTCCATTCGATTGGCCGCGGATGTGCGGGTGTACCGGGACGTTTAGGCTCTTCCACGCGATTCCGCGGCATCCCCGGAGCGGAGGAAGGTCGAGAAGACAAACAGCGGCTGGACCACCCTTCTTCGACGATTGGTTCCGTTGTGTTTACTCTTATCGCCACTCCTACTACGAGACGAGACTCCCGTATCGCAGGATATCGCAGGATATCGCAGTATCCGAGTATCGCGGATACTCGCTGTTGTATGATTTTATCTCATTTTTCCGCTTTCGCAACGAGGATACGCCACGTCGCGAATTAAAAGGGAAATTAATGGGTGTCAATAAAAGCCAAACAAACGTTATCTCGTCGCAGATACAAGCAATTTTTAAAAAGTCAAAAAAATTTTTCGCTTCTCGATGTTTTTTTATATTAAGTTTCTCAGCACATTTTTATATGAAAGACAGAAAGAGACCAAATCGGTTGGTAGTCGTGCGAGCTAAATAAAAAAGTAATTTGTTGAATAAAGATTAATTACATACAAAGATACTTAATTCTCATTTTTCCAAGAAAATTTTATTGAAAAAATTAAAAAGATATATATAATTATCTTTTTCTTCTTAGAAGAATAATAATAAATTTTTAAAAAGTAAAAAACGTTTTTATTTCTTGATGTTCTTTCTATATTAAGCTTATTTTTATGAGAGAGATCATATCGGACTGAGACGTGAAGAAATAAAAATTAATTTGAATAAATATCGATAACGTTAAAATATTTAATTCTCACCTTTCCAAGAAAAATTTAGGTCAAAAAAATTTTAAAAACAATTTCTCTTTCCGTTTCAAAAAATAATAATACAACATTTTAAGAAGATTAAAAAAAAGTAATTAAAAGTCTTACGAGGAAAACCTGAAGAAGTGAAAATGCGCTTTTTAAATGCAATTTGTTGTAAAAAATAATTTTTCGTGCAAACAATCTTAACTTTAGACACTTTTTTTAGATTTTTCAAAAGTATAATAGTATTGATAATAGAGGAAAGGCCTCTATTATGAAATACCGAATTCATTTTGGGTAAATGCTAAAAGTTTATGGGCAGAATTAAAAAAAATAATAGGTCATTTTGAAGGGAATTTAAGAAGCTTTAAGATAATATTATATAAAATTTAATTTAAATTCCATTTTTTTTTTGAAAATTAAAGAAATGTAAAAAGTGAGCAAAATCGCAAAATCAAAAAATTGTGCTCCTAATATGAGATGCCCCAAGAAATCGATAGTAAAACGAAAAGTATATCAGTGTTGTAACTAAAAAACTTTATTTAATGTTTTTTAAATACTAACAAACACAGCCAGGATGCGCGAAAAATGAGTATGTGATACATTATACCCAGAACTGGTCTTCAGTTGAAATTAAACATTGCAGAAATAAGCACTTGACGTTCATTCTGGTTGTCCTTTTTATTATTATATAATAACATTTATACTTTAGCAACGATTTTCACTATGACATGGGAGCATAGGTTATTTCATATTAGAAATACTCTGGATATCTCATATTGCGATTTCCACGCTTTACGGTTTTACGATCATCAACTCTAACTTCTACGAGTATAATTAAGCAATTCAACATATCCCGTATTTTTCTATTAGTACGACCTTACTCTATCATTACATAAAGAATTTATTATCAAATATTTATTTATTAAATAATAAACAATGTTTAAAAGCTCATCTCAATGAAACTTGAAGACATCCAAATTTTAAAATCTTCTTTACAATCACTACAGGCATGATCTAATAATGAATTTTCTACTAAATAGTTTTCAATTCAAAAGCAATAAATTCATGGTGGAACCAATAGATAGCATCTATTAGTTTAGCAGAAACGCCGCTATCTCATATTAGGCGTCTATCTCGTAATAGGGGGCTTTCCTCTAAATATAAAACTTTGAACTCATTGTATTTCGAGATTAATACATAACTTGGTAAGATGATAAATCTCAGAAAAAGGAAGAAAAATGTCAAGTATTACAATATTTTAGAATCAGTTGACTTTTTTCTATATACATAGGTAATATACAATCGAGATTAATATGTTTTCATCGGACTCGACTATGTAGCAGACAGCAACATTGTATATACTTATGGAATCGCATTAATCCGAACTACATTTATACTATCTATACATCAAATAAAAATGACCCTGAAATATTGTAATACTTAATCTTCTCCCTCTTTTCCATGATATTTATTATTTTGCCAAGTTAATCGCTCGGAAATTTTTGTATTTATTATTTATTTTTAAAAAACTAAAAGGTATCTAAAGCTATAGTTTAAAATTCTTAATATAAGCACAAAGGATTATATACTCTTTTCCAACAAACCTCATTTCAAAAGCATGTTTTTATTTTTTAGTTTCTCCTTGTTAGAGAAAAACTCTTTTTTTTTGAAGATTAATAATAATAAATTCTTTAATTTGGACCAGAATAAATTTTACTCGATGCGGCCTTAAAAACTGTAAAAATGAAAAACTGTAATAATGTTTTTGCATCACGCACTGAAAAAAAATTGTCATTATTACAATTTAAGTGTAATTTATGGTCATTTTTGACGCTAACTTTGTTTTAGTAGGGGAGAGACCGGGACTAGTAAACTATAGAGGTAAGTAGAATAATCGAGGCTACGTTATAAACAAATCGCTCGAGACACACGTAAACATGTCTGAACACGGAACGGTGACTGCCACTCAAACTGTTGTGAGATCACGAGGCGGATGCGCGTCTGTATTAGAAATTATGCTACAATTTAAAAAAATCGTACACGTAAGTAAATATTTTTATTCTTAAAGTTTTTGTTCTACAATCATATATAATTGTCTGAAATATGTGATTTTCATTTATAGTAAGTGTAGTTCTTATTTAATAAAGTCCAACAGATTTTTTTTGTTTATCTATCTTTGTTATCGTATAATGTTAATGTTTTTAAAAAATGAACGGATGGGGCTAATAAGCTAATCACAACAAGAGGCTATATGACTAATTTAGTGACGACTCTGATAGTACCTACTCTTAAGTTTCTTGGAATAAAATCTCACTATAAAAGAGTGAAAATACAGTCAGTTTTGAAAAAGAATGAAAATGTTTCACTTTTTGAAAAAAAATGGCAATATTTCATTGCTCTAAAGAGATTTATCTCAGTAGTAAATGTTATAAATTTGGTTCCCTTACGTCCAATCTCGATAAAACTAAGTTCACTCGACGTGTTTTTGCTCGAAACAAACGAATTTAGCAAAAAGAAGCATTGCTCTGCCTTGCGAATCGAAATATTAATCGTTAAAGTTTGTTAGGTTAGAAAACCTGTCATTCGTTACGCCCTGTTAAAGACGATAGAGAATAATAGAAAAATCCTATCGTTTTGAATATGATTTGTAAATTCACTAATTTGAATCAGATCTTATAGGAATCTTGTACACAAATCTTATAAAATCCGATAAAACATGATAGGATTTATATCCGATCAATCGTGATGTTCTCGCGAGGTCAACAATAGGAAATGATACAAACTTACAGAAAAACGATACAAATTGATAAAAATCTTATTCTCAATTGTTTTCTATCAACTTTTTTTTACCAGAACGATTTCACTCTATTCCATACATAGCTGTATTTTCACTCTCTTTAAAATTTCACTCAAAAGAATTTAGAGAGTATTCTTTTTTACTTTAAATGCATCTATGATGCAATGATTTTTGTAGTTTTAATGAATTTTAATAATAAAAATATGCAATAATAGTTAAATTACATGTACAAGAAATTTTTTTATGCATGAATATGTATAAATATGTAGAAACATACATAATATAATAAATTATACTATATGTTTATGATCATTTATACATAAACATGTATAAATATTCATAAACGTATATAATTGTATATGAAATATGTACATATATGTTTATATATCCTTCTTTCTTTTGTAAAATTACTTTTAAGTGTAATAGAAGTAGTAATAATAATGTGAAAACATTAAGAATAATTAAAAGGATAATTTTGTAAACATGTATAGACACATTCTAAATAAAGAGTAACTTATTATGTTTATTATAACTGTAATTCGAATAACGATTTGGATTAGATAAATTGTTATTTATTTAATAACAAGATACAAAGTTATACTTTTTTTATTTTATAAATATGTTTAAAGTGCATTTTTATAAAAGTTTTATAGACACGTTTATGTTTAAAACATTTTTATAAAAGCTTTGTTGATATGTAAAGATTAAATATACATTAACCTTCATTTTCATAATGTTAATCAAATCACTTCATTAGTCACCTTACCCCGGTCTCGGGATTAGTTCAATCAGATGGAATGTATTAGAAAAATGCATTTTTTTTTCATATTAGTTATTAGTTTTCTCTTATTATTAAAATATTATTAGATAGTCAAATGTACTCGTATGTAGTAACTGGTATAGAATTTATTTTTTCGATAA